AAGCTCCTGCTGACTTGAGGATGTTGCTTGGTGCTGAGGGAAGAGGTGGTTGACGGGTGCCAATTGCTCGACGCATGGGTTTTAAGTTTCAAGCGACAGAGAGCTGCTAATTCTGACAGCTGCAGGTAGGAAGCAGCTCTGAGGAGGTCAGACACACCTTGGTTACCAAAATGATTGGAGGAAGGCAGCTGACCTGTGTACATGAAGTCCAGTACCTGCAGAAGTGGAAGACATAAATCCCACAGAAGTCAATGCATATTCTTAGCTAAATAGAAATCCAAAGAATCGTTTGTTTTGTTGGGTTACTCACCTGGTCGAACACTGAGGGCTTCACCATCTCTGTGTTCAGGGTGATGAGGTTCTCATGCAGCACTAAGTATTTGAAGTAGCTGCTGCAGGCCGCCAGGACGTTCTTGTGAGCCCTGAAGAGAGCGTTCTCCACCACGATGATCACGTCGCACAGGTATCCTTTAGATCGCTGCTGGTTCAGCTGCAGTAAAAGCTGTGTGGTGTAGTTTGGCCGCTCCATCCCTGAAAGACTTTTGTGGAACACCTGGGAGACATTTAAGACAAACCAAGTTTTTTTTTTTATAACTGAAAACAGACATTCACAATGAATTGTTTTGGTTTTTCCTCACATGCACAAAACTCCTGAAAACTTCTTGTAATTTTCTGGGTGAGACACAGACAGAAAAATATTTCACCTGAACTTTTCCTGCTGGCCCTAAAGCAAAAAAAGGTCAATGAGACAACGCAGAATTCAAAATCTTTCTGCCAAAATAAACAATTACCCGTCACTCAATCACTTCCAGGTCACTTCCTGAATTTGGTACATTCCCTTTCTGTCAAGATTCTGTCATTTGTAAAGTTTCTTGGGGACTAGTAAAAGTGTTCTACCACTTGAAAATGTGTCTAGTGTTTTGGTTTTGTAATTTTGTTTTATAAAATTGTAAAACTGTTTTTCAAAATGTAAATTTGTCTCAAAGTGAGTCACACTTTGTAATTTTGCTTTGCACTTCCCAGCCACCGTAGTTCAATTATTTAATGTGAAGCACTTTGGGACATCTGTTCTTGAAAGGTGCTCCATAAATAAATTTTACTTACTTACTTTCTTAATCATATCAGTTGGATTCATCCCACAGAAACCACAAATGAAAGAACCACAATTTTCCACCTTGTATAGATATTTCACTGTGAAGCTGAAACATTTGACCTGATGATAAGTCAGGGCGTTCTCACAGTCAGCTGGATGATGAATGTCTTTTATACATTTCAACTCTATTTATTGGATAGTCGTTGAGGTCTGCACCAGAACGGTGGACTGATGGTTTGCCATCCCATCCACCCAGGCACATTGTAAAGCTCAGAATAGTTTTAACGGTCCACTATCGGTGAAGAGAAAGGTGGTAAAAATAGACAAGAAGACCCCACCCTGAACACTTCTATCTGCAGTGGCACAGTCACAGAAGATGTCCACACACACTATTGTGTTTGACAACTACTCAGACATCCAACAATTATCTTGTATCGCACCTGATCACACGAGAAATACTTTAAAAAAAAGAAGAGAATGTCTCTTTAATAATGGATTGGTTTCTTTTTCTTACTTAAATAAAACCACTAATTGTTGGTGTCACAATAGGGATGGTGCTCTGTGGATGATCTGTCTGCCCACAGATACTATTATCACAGATCGTAATCCCAAGGGAGCTGCTAAACACTGGTACAAAGTTACAAAACTTCTGCTGATAAGTACTTGGCCAACATCTGTTTTGCCAAACGTAGATACACACTACTCGTATCTCAACAACTGCTGAAAAAAAAAAAGGATTAATGTTCTTTTGCGGCAGTCTAAGAAGTGCAGACTTTACTGGCTTTAAGCCCATAAATCCCAGTTTGAGTCTGAGAGCTCTAGATTAGTTATAACGTCAATGGACTCTCCAAACGTGGAATAATTATTTGGAGAGCTCAAGTCCATTTGTTGCTTGATGTTTTTAACCTGTTTCTCTCTTTTTCTTTATTCCTTTTGTTATTTGGCTTCTCGAAGTTTCTGCTTGTTGTTCTCTTTGTTTTTAATTGAGGATAAATCTGACATTTTAAATGTTTTATTCCTCAGCAAATAAAGAGATTTAAACTACTTGTTAAGTAGGCTACCTATTATAATAATATTATAAACAAACATTTCAAGTGCTGCTTTGTAAAAAAAAAAAAGTATTTTGTGATGTTATTTGAGAATTTTTTGTCTCTTGGTTTGTTTGTTTGAAAATGTTTGCATAATTTCAAAACGTAAATATGTTGAATGAATTCTGTGAACTTACTACTAAGACTGGCATAACGGTGAAACCCTTAAATTGAAGTTGAGTTAAATATTGATTACAAGGTTTTACACATACATACCAGTGCATATGAACACTAACAGAAAAGAGTCTGAGACTGATCATGGACCATTACGTGCAAATATTGTAAGTAAAAAAGAAGAAGAAGAAACAAAGGAAGATGGGAAAACAACCAAAAGTTTCTGGGTTAGATCCATCAATCATCTCTGGATAAAAACAAACTCCCACAACGCTGCCAGAAAATAAACTGTAAAATGAATTATTTCAGTCCTTTATGGAAATGTAAACATTGAGCTGAACATCAGCAGTGAAGCTTCACTTTAACGTCCATGCATGAGGACTAATAATCTATCATTCCTATTTTTCTACTTTAATATTTTCCGTACATTTCCTGGCTGTCTTTCCCTGTGTGGTATTAATTCTGTACTTAAGTAGATGATCTGGATATGTCCTCCTCGTTACACTGCACTCATCAGACTTTAGTAAAGTATTGTTTCAAAGTCTTATAATGAACCTACCAGGTGTCCACAGGTGTTGATGATGCTCCCTTCACACAGTTCTGCAGCCCCAGAGAGCTCAGATTTGAAAAGCAAAATTAAGCTTATTTAAAAAATATTTTCACCTTCAGTCAGACTTCAGTCAGACTCCAGCATCTGGCAGCATCTGCTTCATGCAGCGGCTGCGTGGAGAGTGACCGCAGCGTGCAGGCAGAGAGGAGAAGAGATGCAGCAGAGATGGTGACTGATAAAACGTCTCCTTGTGGGGCGCAGTGGTTAGTGTGCGCGCCCCATGTATGGAAAGCTATAGTCTCCCAAGTCGGTGGCAAAGGTTCAAATCCGGCCTGTGGCTCCTTTCCTGCATGTCATTCCCCACTCTCTCTCTCTCTCTCTCTGATTTCCGACTCTATCCACTGTCCTATCTCTCCTATAAAGGCACAAAAAGCACAAAAATAAAAATAAAACGTCTCCTTGTGATAAAACTACAGCAGACGATGCACGTGTACACCGTCCTCCTGCAAGACCATCCAATACATACTGAATGTGTCACCTGCTAAACTCAAATCCTGACCATGACATATACTGTCACTGGATGTGGATCATGAATCATGCAAGTCTAACACTTATGTCACATGACTGGTAGTTTAGTATGTAACTGCATACTACCGGTCTGGTTAAAGACAGTATAGGAGGTGATACGTTAGGATGTGGCTTTGGACACAACCTAACCTTTTTATACCCTGTGTAAAGGTTTTGAAACCTGTTGGTAAAACTAAGATTTTAAAAACATCATTAGTTTATAATCCAGCCAACTACATTTGTTTTATTCAGTCTGCAAAAGCTTCTTAAAGAATCAAAACAAATGTGTTTCATTGGTGATGAAAACTTTAAATTCTTCATTTTTTTACGACTTTGAATTACAAATAAAACTCATTTATGGAGCTGTCTTATTTTTCAATATTTGTTGCTTTTGTTGCTTTTCTGTCACTTTAAATGTGGGTATCTGTTACCTTGAAGTACACATGGAAGATGAGATGGCGGAGATTCCTCCACCTGAGCAGCAGCCTGAATTAAAGAACAGAAGAGGTGTTAGGCAGTCAGACTCTGACTCTGCAGGCTCATAGATTTGATGGCCTCGGGCTATGTCGTGTACATTCCTGTTGCAATTTAACAAGCAGGAGGTCACAATAGGTAATCTGGATAACACTATTAAAATGTCTGGATGACTATAGTACTGAGGCACTATAACAAAATATGTTTAAAAACTTTACTTCTCTTTAAAGGTCACATATTGTGCAAAATACACTTTACCATTTGTCCCTAGTCTGTCTATAAACCCCCCTCTATGAGAAAGTCCATCCTCTCCGTCTTCTGCCTGCTCCACTTTTCAGAAAATGTGTGCTCAAACAGGCCGTTTGGAGATTTTCCCTTCATGACATCACAAAGGGCAGTAGCCCCTCCCCCAGGTGGGTGACTGAGTCTGCCTTCTCATCGTAAACAATAGAACATGGAGCGAGAAAGCACCGAGTACACCCAAAGCCCTTCCAGAGAGGGGGCGTGGTCAGACACAGCTCATTTACATATTTAAAGGTACAGACACAGAAACAGCCTGTTCTGAGCAGGGCTGAAATAGAGGGGTTTATAGACATGATCAAATACAGGATCAGAGTGGATTTAGAACAAGAAACTTCACAGACATGTTAAGAGGAGCTCTGAGACTTATTTAAACTGGTTGAAGAGGACGAGAATATGTGACCTTTAAAGCTCAAATTGTTTGTCGAACATTTGTGAGTTTATTTTCTTTTTTTGTTTGTTTTGTTGTTCTACTTTTGTGGGACCTCATTGGCTCTGCAGAATATTAATTAATGAATAAGTGTATGAATCTTTATTTTCATAAAGACACGGCTCATCCCTCATGGGATTATTCAGACACAAACAAAACATTTCCTATAGCGCCATCACATTGACTCAAAATAAAACAAAGATAAAGTGACTCTGATATTACAAAATAAACACCTCACACAAGAGGGGCCAGAGTAAGAGACTGTAAAATTATAAATGAGTCACAGTATCTGTGTTTAGTTATCTCTCAGGTGTGCTACTTCCTAACAGGTACATTTCCCCCTTCTGCCTGGGTGACGTCACTGGGATGGGCAGGTCACGTGGTCGTGGTTTAACGTTACTGAAATGAGAGCCGAAGAAGAAGAGGAGCGAACAAGGTAAGGCAGCGGTGTGCAAACTCTGTTTACATCCATTATAAACTTAAATATTTCAACATGTGTGCACGCAGGCGTCGATAATGAGTCGTTTTTAACAGAAATGTGAACTTTTAATGTCGAAAAGTCAGACGTAAACACAAGTTGAGTTGGCGTAAACGTGCACTTGGAGGAAAGTTTACCTCGCGGTTTCAGGTTAAAATGGTCATTAAGCAGTAATACATATCGACTTTTTGTGAACACACAGATTGTTACAGGGTTGTTAATGAACTTTAAACGCTTTAATGAGTTAACACGGAGTCACTTTTAAGTGTTTAAATTGACTCTTTCTCTTGACCGAGCCCGCTGGCTGTGTGCCAGATCTGCGTCTGTTGTAACGTTATTAGGTTAGGCCTCCTTCACTGCACACTTCATGTTGTTCAGATTAAAGCAGAACTGAAACACGTTTATTAATATATATTTAATTATCTGACTCCACTTCACAATTTAAATAACACAAATAATCAACAGCAGCAAAAAGTGAAAGTAGATCCGTTACATCTGGAAAGAACCGCGACTTAAATGTGAAAATAGTCCTTTAATAAAATAATAAAATAATGTAATAATATAATATAATATAATATAATATAATATAATATAATAATATATATAAAGTTGACTTATAAAGCACATTTCATTACAGGTAAGCTCTTGGGGGGTAAAAACACAAGAAGGAATCATTTACATAATTATTTCAACAATCATGAATAAGATACAGAAATCAAATAAATGACACTGAGCATTAGACATCTGAAAGAAACACAAACTGCATATACATACATGACACAAGTGATGACATTAACACACACACACACACACACACACACACACACACACACACAGTGACTATTCCTATTTCTGGTACAATGTCAAAAAGGGCAAAATAAGAAACAAACAAAACAAACTGAGCCGAAGGAAGGGTATTGAACGTGCACGGTTTTAGACCAATAGTTGCATATTTTTTATTAAACAGTCCCTGCTTTATATTGAGTATCATGCATTGGCCTGATATCAGATTCATTTTCTTTTGGTTTAAATGCTGTTTTAATTAGAAATTAGAAATCTAAAGAACAGCTGTCAATGTATTTTCTTTTATTTTTATGATATCAGATTCATGCGAGTCATGAATCACATTTTGGAGGCACACAAAAATACAACAGTGTTCTTTCAAAAAAAGAGGAAGAAGAATAAAGGTAAACATGGAACAATAAACGTCACATGATTTAAATAAAGAAAATAGCTTCACAGATGTTTTGGCAAAAGGAAGAAAATGAGCAAACACATCATCTGGCGAGAAACTTAAATGTCAACAAACTGATTTGTTTGCAGTAAACTCTTAAGTGCGCCTTTTAACTGTGACTCTGTTTCCTGCGCATATGTTATGAACATGTTCTGCTTTTCCCGGTTTAACTAACCATAAACTGATTATATTTAAGGTTGTGATCTTCTGGGTCGGTCAAATTAGAATATGAACATGTCGCTTTTGGCTCTTTTTACATTGTGATTTAGTTTATTCTCATTCTCTGCAGGCCAACCGCTCCTCTTTAAACGTTTGTTTGTGTTCACAGGTGATTCGTCGGCTCACTGTGTGTTCATACCAGGTTTGCATTCTGACCCGCAAGCCAATGTAAGTCGTGTTGAGTGACTGCGTGTGAAAGGTATTCAAGCACCGTTCTTTATTTTTATTTTACCTCTAAAGATCGAAGAAACGGGCTTTAAAGGGCTGATTTGTGTCAAGAATGTATTTTTGTGCTGTCTGCAACAACTTTCTTGAAAATAAACCATCAGCCAGGAAAGAAGAAGAAGAAGAAGAGGGGGGAGGGGGAGGGGGAGTTTTGCCCTTTTTTTTGTTTGGTTGCAGCACAAAAATGCATTCTTGACTCGGCTTGCATGGAGGATCACATCTTCACTCATGAGGGCTTTTTCTGTGGGGAGCTCAGGTACTGTCGGGGGTTTGCTTTTTTTTTTTCAGGGTCTCGCTGTTTGGTTGTGGAGCATGCACCATCTATTTTGGATTATCTCTTCACTACGGCTTATTCCTGTTTATATTTCCTCTTTCTTTCCATACTGTGTAGTTCTTTGAGGTTGTTAAAATGTTGATGCTTTGATACTTTTTGATACCACATGTTTTAAAACAAAACCATCTGTATAATTTTAATGTTGAAGCTTTAAAAAAAAAAAAAAAAAACTGAAGATATTCAGTCATGCTTTTACCCAAAGATGAATATAAAAAGCGCGGTCTAATTTGCACATATAGTTGGTGACGTTTCATTATTGAAATATTGCCAACGTTCAATTTTTGCAATTGAGACAGCGGGCAGGAGTTTGCCTGCATATTTTTGCATAATTAGAAACAAGAAATATCCAAATCTTGGGTGCCTAGGACTTCTATTTTGGTTGCTGTGGTTTCAAAAAAGGTATCAACATTGTCTGATTTTTGCTAGAATCATATTAAAGTTTAAATTCTGGTATTGTGGCGGCCAAATTCAGTTCTGTTAACGATGTACAACGATGACACGATGGAAGCTTCAATGATGAAGCAAATAAATAATTTCAAGATTTACTTTGGTATTTAATCAATGCATGCTTGTTTATGTTTTTTGCATGCTTGTGTTTTCTCAGGGACCATCACCATCCTCATGTCCTATGGAGGAGGCTTTAACGGACGCACTGAGCGTGTCCGCCAGGCGCCACACTATGACCAGGTCCCTCAGGGCTCCTTACGCCGAGCAGACTCCTACGACCTAGAGCCTCTGAGCGAGCAGAGAGCGGCTCCCCTCGCGCTCAGCGCTGACCCCCTGCCTCCCCCGCCTCTGCCCGACCAGCCTCCTGTGGGCCTGGAGTTCGACCTCAGCGGCAGAGAGTTCGATGCGGAGGCCGACCCTGACCCCGCCCTCGACATTAAACCCGTGCACCGCTTCATCCCGGACTCCTGGAAGGACTTCTTTAGAGGGAGTAACCGCAGCAGCAACAAGCCCTGGCCCATGTCGGACTCCTCGTGCAACAACAACAACAGTACCAGCGACGGGGTCCGCTGCTCTCCCCCGCACTCCCCCTCGGTTCCTGGGTCGTTCCGGGATCCATATGGAGGCTCAGGCGGCAGCTACAACTCAGGCAAAGAGCTTCTGGAGCTACGGGAGTCCGTATCCGGACGCACTCATCACACCGGTCTGACCTACAGCGAGCGGGTGGAGGAGTACCATCTGCGCTACGCCTACATGAAGTCGTGGGCGGGGCTGCTGAGGATTCTGGGCTGCGTGGAGCTCCTGCTGGGAGCCGCCGTGTTCGCCTGCGTCTGCGCCTACATCCACAAAGACAACGAGTGGTTCAACATGTTCGGGTACTCGTCTCCCGGAGGGGCGTACGGAGGAGGGCTTTACGGTTCAGGAACAGGAGGGTCGTACTACTCGGGCCCGAAGACCCCGTTTGTGTTGGTGGTGGCGGGGCTGGCCTGGCTGGTGACCGTGATCGTGTTGGTGCTCGGGATGACCATGTACTACCGCACCATCCTGCTCGACTCCAACTGGTGGCCGCTGACGGAGTTTATCATCAACCTGGCGCTGGCTGTGCTCTACATGGCAGCAGGTAGGAAACACAGCTGTGAGCCAAAATGTTGCAGACTTCACATCATGTTTCAGTTCTGCAGCTGCTGCCGAAGCAATGCAAACCTTTTCTTTTTGTACTTTTTAGTCATTTAAGCTCCATCATATCTTGAAATAGGGCAAAGGTTAACAGATAGTAGCAAACCCCTTTAAGGTATTGTTACTTAGAGAGCTACTTGTTTGGCTTTATACCACCAGAGAAGAGTGAGAAAATGCACATTTTCAAACTAGAACGTCCCCCTTTGTCGCTTATTAAAGGCTTTATATGTGATGTTTTGATCCAGCAGATGTCGCCCTTGAGCACCAGCATGAAACCAAAACAACTGGCGCTGCATTGTTGTGTTAGCATTCTAATGCTAGCGATCTTTATTATGCTGGTATCTTCACACTGCATGTAAATTTACCTGAAATGAGCGTGATCTAGAAACACAGTTAAGCAGTGAGTACAGTATGTTATTCTTCTTTTCTCTAGTCCCTCAATTAAACAACTTTTATACGCGAGGGGAGGAGTCAGCCGGCCGTCCGGGCGATGTAAACAAAGTGAAAATATGACTCATTTTCAAACTAGAACGTCCCCCTTTGTCGCTTATTAAGTTTCTTATTGAGGTTTTTTGTTTTTGTTGGTTTACCAGGCATTGTTTACGTCCGTGACACAACCCGTGGAGGGCTCTGCTCCTACCCGGTCTTCAACAACGGCATCAACGGGGCGTTCTGCAGAACAGAGGCCGGCCAGACCGCAGCCATCATCTTCCTGTTTGTCACACTGGTCGTGTATCTGATCGGAGCCGCCGTGTGTCTGAAGCTGTGGAGGCATGAAGCTAATCGCAGATACCGGGAGAAGTACGGCCCGGAGGTGAGATCTGGTTCAGGTGTCTGTTTGCTTTGTTTTATGGGCTGGGTTTTGAATTTCCTCAACACCATTCTGAGCTTCTTCTTCTTCTGCTTCTGCTTAAAGGATCATCAACACTATGTATCCCTTTGATCACTGATAAACAGGCTGGTGTTACAAACATGTCTGCACACTCAGACTTCAGTGCAACAACAAACCACATGATTTGCACACACAGGCTTACAGCTGTAGAAGAGTGAGGGGGCGGAGTCTGTGTTTCCTACCTGTGAGCTGTGAACATAAATGTAGTAGCTTGCTAGCCTGGCGTCAAGACGGAAAAAGAGCACTGTAGGCTGGCAGTGTCACATGTTTAAAACAGCGACGGTAAATGTCGGGCTGATAACGCAGCTGAACTCTGCCATCATTTAAATGATACATTGACTGAGACTGTGTGTATGTTAGAGCTGAATATGTCAAACGTTTTGCATTTAAAAAATTTGAATATATTTGTGTTTGTATCATAAACTTTGACTTAATATATCCTCAATTTGTTTACATTGCTCAGGTCCGTCCTACATCTCCTTTCCAGCATGTCATCCCCCACTCTCTCTCCTGATTTTCTCTATCCAATGTTTTGTCTTTAATTAAGACAAAAAGCCTGAAATTCTTAAAAAGACTATAAGTATGGACAACTTGTTATTGACTCCAAGAAACCTCTGCCCATACCGCCTTTTTGACAGGATGACCAAATGAGATATAACATGTTGACCTGAGCACCTTAACACAGATGGTAACTGTCAGGGCCAGGGTGTGTTTTGAGTCTTCATGCTAAGCCAAGCTCGCTGCCTCTTGTGTGAATAAGTCCAATTCCTGCAATTTCAAAACCTTTTCCTGCACTACTAAATCCTTATTATTGGCTTCATGTTCACGGGATGACATGTGCATGTTTTGTTTCCCCAGATGGATCCCTCTGAGAGGAGAGCTGCACGATCATTGGTGAGCATCCTCCCATGTTGTTCAATCAATCATAATACAGACTTATTTATTTCATTGCACTTCACGTTGTTGCTCAATCTGTAAAATGATTTCTACACATTTGATTTTCTTGTTGTGTCCCAGCAGATGATTCCAGTTTCAGGTCCTGCACTCAGAGCTCCTGAGCAGGTCCAGGGCTCCTCAGTGGTTCCAATCCAGGCTGCTCCCAGAGCAGTCCCACCAAAAGTTCTGCAGGGAGCGATACCATCGGGACACATCCCAAAACCTGTGATACTGCCCGACTACATCAGGTATGTACTGCTTTAGATATACAACTTACTAAACTAGATGATGTTGATCACAATGTATCTGTAAATGTTTTTACTTCAGCAAAATCCATAGTAATTAACAAATCTTCAATGGCCTTTTGACCAGCAGAACTATTCTGTTCACTCAAAGAAAACCAGATCATATTCACATTTAAGCAGCTGGTAACTGTGTGTTTAAGACATTTTATTCTCTCCCTCCACCCCGCAGTAAGTATCCGTCGATCCGGTCTGTAGAGGAGCGGGATCAGTACCGAGCCGTGTTCAACGACCAGTACGCAGAGTACAAGGAGATCCACGCAGACGTGCAGGTGACGCTCAAGAAGTTTGACGAGATGGACGCCATGATGCGCAGTCTGCCGCAGAACCCCTCCAGCCAGATGGTGAGTATTAGCACTCATTTACTCTTCTTTAAAAACAAAAACAACAACTGAGCTGATAGATGTTCTAACAAAGCTTATTTTAAGGTTTATTTTGTGCCTTTATTATTTAAAGATTGAAAGTGGGTAGTGTCAGAAATCGATGGGAGAGAGAGAGTAAGGAACCCGGAGGACTACAGCCTCTACACATGGGGCGTGGGCACCAACCACCAGGCCTCATATCTTTTCATTTTATAACACCTGTGGCATATTTATGCAGCAGAATTATGTTTCCACATAATAAATCAATAACATTTTTACTATATTTTTTGCAGACTTCTTCTATTTGTAAGCAATGACTCAATGACCTCGGGGGTTTGTTTTTTAAAACCTGATGCAGTGCCCGTCTGTGCTGGTCAGGTGGAGTTGCAAAAGAAAAATGACAACCTGAATCATCAGCTCCATGTCACATGTGAAGACAACATATTAACCATAAACATAGCAAGAGATGCAGGTCAATAAAGACGTGCTTCAGACAGTTTGTTGGAGATTAACTGGCAAAGAAGAAATTAATTTAAATCATCTTTAAAGCCGTTTAAATGTTGTTTACCACCACTCTACCGTTTTGTCCTGATGGTGTTGGTACCCATGAGTTATGGCCCCCATCAGTCTGTGTGTGAGTTTATCTCACAAGTGTAAACATGAATGTAAGAGACTGATTGCATGCCTGGAATAATACACAAAGTCTTTCTGTTGTTATTTCCCACATGTTGTCACTTCCTCTGTTTGTGCTTCTTGTTCCTGCTGAACTTCCCCTCCACCCTCAGATTCCTTTGCTGCTCCATTAGAAAGTGGATTTTACTTACAGCATCATTGCATCATATGTGTCTGATGAACATGTCCATGTCATTTCTGTTTCTTTGCAGGAGGTTGATCGCATTAACAGAATCCTTCAGGAATACCAGAGGAAGAAGAATGTGAGTCTGTTGTCTCGTTGAAAAAATAAAACACCTCCATACTGATTTATATTTTACTGATTTATATCAGTGCATGTTCATATGATTCTGTTTGTGTATCAGCCTATGTGTGTGTGGCATGTCTCAATAACAGAGTGTGAACCTGTATCATCTTCTTCTTTCTGCTTTTTCTGCACCAGGACCCGACTTTCCTGGAGAAGAAGGAGCGCTGCGAGTACCTAAAGAACAAACTGTCGCACATCAAACAGAAGATCCAAGAGTACGATAAAGTCATGGAGTGGGAAGACGGATACAGCTGAGCTTCAAAACCTCTGTAGGAGTCAGAACGCTGGAAAAACCACAGACCACAAATAACAGAACTCACGTAGACGGCTGACGACTTGTGGTGGTGAAAATGACATTTTAACTGGAGAGGGAAACTCGTGCAGAACCACAAGAGCATGACTGGGATTGTTTTTTAAACCGCTCTTTCTCTTGAATCTGTCTGAGAGCAAACGTCTGTCAGCACTTTTTGTTTGTCTGCTTCTGCTTAACAAACACTAAATTGTGGAATTTTTTTAATACGCATTTTAGGAAATGCACTCGTTCCCTTTTTTTGGTGCAGTTATGAAAAAAAATCAATACCGCTCACTCAAAGGTCTGAGGGATGAAGCACCTAGTTGCAAGTTAGCTTAGCTTAGCACATCTTCTAAACGGGGGGGAAAATGGCCAACTTCAAGACCTAAAGTCCGCCTATGAGCACCTGTAAGTTTACAACCATCATTATTGTTCGCACTTCTGCAGTGTTTTTTAAATCACTTTTCATTATTACACACTAATATTTCAGCACATTTGCAATTTAAACACTATCAGCCAGCGAGGGATAACAGCGCCGTGTTTGTGTGCATGTCTGAGTGTGTGTGTGGAGCTCCGGCTGTTTCTTTACACGCCCTAACACAATGTGAAGTCACAGACTGAGACGCAAATATCACACCGTGTCAGAATCAATATGAAAATACTAAGGTGTAATGACAGTGGAGTTTCATTACCGCCCCTGTGCAATCACAACATGCAAAATGCAGACTCCATTTTTTTCTGCTGTGTTTCAAGCTTGTGTTACTTTCAGTTTTTTTTTTTTTTTTTTGCACCTTGATGCTGATCCAAAGAACTCTGCGGACTTCACCTTCACCCCTTCAGGTCAAACATAAAAAGAGTGTCCATACGTCTAGAAATGCACATACATGTTTGGCTCTTATTTGATTTGTGTTTAGATTTTTGGGTTTAAACCTTTTAAGTTAGTCGCGCTGATATGAGCAATCCACAACCATCAGCTGTTTTTGCCTCGCTTAACAGTGTGCACAAACATTAAAAATAAGCTGCAGAGACCAAAAACTGTTTTTTCCAGCAGGCTGTAAATATGTTTATTTCTACTGTAAAAGAGGGCATTTTAATATGGGACCTAACTGGGATTCCTTCACTTTTGGAGGCAGCCTCTAGTGGACACTCGAGGAACTGCATTGTGCGTTGCACTTCTATATTGTACTCATTTTTCAGCACGGAGAGGTTGACGCTCCACCAATGCTTACAAACTCCCGTCTGCAGCTTTCAGAGTGGTACTGATTTTTTTCATCTTAAACGAACATGTGCATTTCCCAGAATGTGTCACTTTTGCTTTTATTTTAAACGGTCCATAAATATGTAAATAACTCAAAGAATATGCTGTATATGTGTGATACTGTGACTCTCTGATTGTAGCTCCTGCTTTATTTCACTAATGACACTGGTATCCGATGTGAATGTTTGACAGAAGTCACTGGGAGATTTTAATTCAGAGGAGACGCTTCGGGGATAACTTCTGAAAATGTTTACCTCCGCTTAAACTCCAAAAGAGACTTCACTTTCTGTCAGGCTTGTCTGCATGAATTTCAAAACAAAAAACACTACGTACCTAAAGAATCTAGCTCTTTTCTTCAACTGCTGTGATAACTGTCTCGACTGTTTTAATTGCACCTTCTCTTTTTTATGCATGTCTTTGTAGTAGAATTTAAGTGTATGTTATGTGTGTGTGCTGTAACTTTTGGTCTGACAATTTCATAGATTAAAGATTTTCTACTTTACAGACACTACATTTCCTAAGTGCCCAAATATATTCTTTATATTTCTTTTTTTTCCAAACACGTTGGACTCGAGATTGAATGTGAAAATTACATTTAAAGTTGAATTTTCCCTGTAACTTTATCAAGTGTAAATGTAAATATTCTGCTGTAAATGTCCATTTTCTTTCATAATTTAAGTGATCTTTTGGTGTTTTTTTTTGTCTTCTAAATACAGTTTTACTTCTGCATTAAATTGTCTTTACTTGTATTTATTCAGAAGCAGACAGTTTCTCTT